CAAACAATGAATCATGGAACACTTCATCTAAAACTAATGATGTAATGTATGGGGATTAACATAAGAATAAAAAAAAAACCACAAAAAAAAAAAAAGAATTACACTGACTGCATCCCATAAATTTTGGTATATTTTACTTTTGGTTTTATTTTATTTAAAATATTTCTTATTTTTCTTGACCTTTTTATTTTCTTATTTCTCTTTGACCCGGGGATTATTTAGAAGTGTCTTTCTTAGTTCTCAAATATATGTAAATTTTCCAAATATCTTTCTGTTGTTGATTTTTTTAATTTAATTCCATTATAAGAGAGCATACTTTGTATGATTTCAATTTTAAAAGTTTTTTTAACCTTAAAAGGATGTAGTTTCTCTGTGAATATTGCATATGCACTTGAAGAGAATATTACAGTGTTGGATGGAGTATTCTATAAATGCTAATTAAGGAATGTTTTTTGATAATGTTCAGGTTTTTTATATCCTTGATGTTTTGTCTCCTTGTTCTATTGATTACTTAGAAAGGAGGTCTTTAAAGTACAGTTGTGGATTTGTCTGTGTTGCTTTTCAGTTCTATCAGTTTTTTGTTTTTTTTTAAGATTTTATTTGTTTGACAGAGGCACAGCGAGAGAGGGAACACAAGCAGGGGGAGTGGGAGAGGGAGAAGCAGGCTTCCCATGGAGGAGGGAGCCCGATGTGGGGCTCGATCCCAGGACCCTGGGATCACGACCTGAGCCGAAGGCAGACGCTTAACGACTGAGCCACCCAGGCGTCCCTATCAGTTTTTTTCTTAATGTGTTTTCAAGTTTTGTCCTTAGGTACATACACATTTACAGTTGTATGTCTTCTTGGTGAATTGATTCTTTTTATCATTATGGAATGCCATGGTAATTTTCCTTGTTCTGAGAAGTCTACTTTGATATTAACATACCTTGTCTGATATTAACATAACACAGCTAGTTTTTGATAAATGGTTTTATCAGATATCTTTTCCCATTCTTTTAACTTAGACATGTTAATTGTATTTAAAGTGGGTTTCTTTAAAAAAAAAAAAAAGTGGGACCCAAGCATATAGTTGGATCTGAGGTTTAATTTGGGGTTTTTTTTGGTTTTTTTTTGTTTGCTTTTAACTTAACAGTTTCCATTTTTAACTGGTGTTTCAGACTTTTTACATTTAATGTAATTATTGATGTGGTTAGATTTAGATCTTGTTTTATTGTTTTCTGATTGATGCTTCTGATTTGGTTTTTTTGTTTGTTTCCACCCCCCTTTTCTGTTTCAGTATTCTGTTTTATCTCTATGTTTAGTTTTTTAGTGGTTGCTCTTAGTTTTTCTTATCAAGAATATGTGTGTTTTCTTTTGTTCTTGAAGGATATTTTTACTGGTTCTAGAATTTTAGGTTGATACTCTTTTCTTTCAGGGCTTAGAAAGTGTTCTGTCTTTGGCCTCTGTTACCTCTGATGAAAATTCCACAGTCATTTGAATTGTTCTTCCCCTATATGTGATGTGTCATTATAATCTTACAGCTCCTTTCAAAATTTGGATTTTTAGCAGTTCGATTCTGAAATGTCTGGTTATAGCTTTCTCTGAGTTTATCTTGGTTCAGGTTTACTTAGCTTCTTGAATTTGCAAATTTATGATTTTTATCAAATTTGGGGAGTTTTTAGCTGTTCTTCAAATATTTGTTCTACATCAATTTCTTTTCATCTCTTTCTGGAGCTCCCGTAATAAGAATATTAGACTTTTTGATATTGTTTCCCAGGGACCTGAGTCTCTGATTTTTTTCCATAAAAATTATTTTTTATTTGTTGTTTAGATTGGATAGTTTCTATTGACCTATCAAATTCATGGACTCTTTCCTTATTCTTCATTTCTTCATTCTGCTTTTTTAAGCCCCTGTACTGGATTTTGTTGTTTCAGTTATATTTTTCAGCCCTATAACTTTTTTTTGGTTCTTTTTAAACTGATTATTTCTCTGCTGAAAACTTGTTTTTCCATTCATCTCAGTTCTGTTTGCCCTGCGTCAGGTGTGGTTATAATAGCTGGTTTTAAAGTCTTTGATCATTCCATCTGAGTAATCTTGAGGTTGGCATGTCTTGTCTTTTTCTTTGAGAATCTTTGAGATGTTTCTAGTTCTTTGTATCTCCAGTAATTTTAGCTGGATATTTTGAGTATTATGAGATTCTGGGTCTTATTAAAAATATTTTAGAGAGTGTCGATTTTTGTTGTTTAATTGTGTTAGTAGGCAGCTCAGTTAAGCTCAATTTCAAGTCCCAGTCTACCTTTTGTAGCTGTGATTCCAATGTCAGTTTGGGTTTCAAAGCCTTTGCAGTATTACTCAGATCTCTCTCACTACGCATCAATCATAATCAAGTCTGGGAACTGACTGGAGGTCTGCACCATAGGTTAGTCCTCAAAGCCTATCCTGTCTTCCCACATGTGTGCCACTTGAGGGTGAACTTGGGATTTCATACACAAATTTAGGGTGCCCCTCTCCATTTTCTTCCATTCCATGATTTCTTCTATACTTTATGATTCTCAAGGGCATCTTTTTTGGGCAGGGTGGAGGGGCAGGAGACAGATGGGGTACTCTGATTAGAAAGCCAGGATTGTGGGGCCTCCCTGTACTGTCACACATTTCCTTCAACTGAGTCCATTTCTGATGCTAAGGGTCAAGGAAAAAGAGAAAAACTTTTTGAATCATAAAATTAAGTTCTTGTGGTCCCAGAGAAGGGTTTTTCTCTTGGAATTGTAGGTGCTTGCTCAGCTGCCATCATCCTGAGTCCCTCTCCATGACTGGTGCTTGTCTTAGGTAACAGCCAGAGGAGCAAAAAGAAAAAATAAGAAAGAGGGCAGTCCCCTCAAGATTCTCTATCCCACAGAGTCCTCCTTCCTGATCCCCTGGCCAGAAAATCCTAGAGCTTTTTCTGTCGTCCTAGCTCACTGTACATTTTTGAGATCAAGCTATCTGTAATTCTAAGCCTGGAAATAAGAGAGGAGAAAAAAAACCTGGGAAACTCACCACCAATCTAGGTCATTCTTCAAGTTTTGATCCCCTTTCTCAACAGGTCTGCTCTTACTTTTCAGGAATCTCAGATAGTGGCTTTATGTTTATGTGAAGGGTTTTTACTTGTAATCTGTGGAAAAGATAGAATTGAATATGCTTAGTCCATTTTAGCCAAAATTAGAACATAACAGTGGTGAATTGAACAGGCAGCCTAGATACAATTTTTATTTGGTTATTATATAATATAATAAGTTATATTATTTATAATTACGTATAAATTATATATCATTTGGATCCAATATTTTAAGTATATCTATTTTAAAAATTATTAATATAATCAGGATTTTATAGCTTGAAAGAGGCCTTAAAAGCAATACAGTCGAAATCTGTCATTTTCCAGAACATAGCATTAGACGTCACATGATTTGTCCATGGTTACACCATAGGTTAACATTTTCAGGACTTGAATTATAATTGGGTTTCTTTCCATTGTTCTTGGTGTACAGTACAGCTACAAATTAATTTGCATTCCCTAAGGCCATAGTGGCACAATCTTGAATTTAAAATTTATCAAAACTTACTCATACAGTAGCAAATACGTATTTGGATCATTGAATACAGGCTATCACTCAAACAGTTCATATTCTGAATGGCAGTTCTATTTTTATATGGAGATAAAGAAGTATATGGATATATGTGGGACTGTGGTTAGTTTTAAGTTAAATTTGATACTGCTGCATTGTTTTCCAATTCTGCAACTATTGTCTGTAACTCCCAAAGTGATTTCATCCTATCCCATAGCTATAAATGTAATCCAAATACTGATAGTATCAAATTTAACTAAAGACATTGTCTTTCCTGAGCTCCTGTTTCTATATTCAGTTTCCTGCATCTCTACTGGAATACCTTACAGCATCTTTATAATATGTCCATTCCAGAACTCTTGACTTTCAATTCCCACCCCTACATTTCCCTATCTCATTAATGTTTACCCAGTTGATCAGGCTCAAAGCCTAAAAGCTGATTGGTTTTTCTTCTCTCATCTTTAATAGCTAATCTGTCAAACTGTCTACTCTGATTCTGAAATCTTCCTAGAATTCTTCCATTTCTTTTAATCCTCATTGCCACCATTCGTTTCTGGTGTTCTTGCTAAACGCCCTTGACAGGACTTCACATGACAATCAGAATAGTCACTTAATTTGCTTATGTTCCTCCTTTAACACTACTTAATACTGTCAGCTTAATACCTTACCAAAGCTTGCATCCCATAGATCAGGGGTCAACAACTTTGCTGTAAAAGGCAAGGTAGTAAAATATTTTAGGCTTTGTGGACCATATGGCCTTTGTCACAGCTACCTGGCTGTACCATGGTAGTGCAGAAATAGAGACAATCTGTAAACAGATAAAACTATTGAGATTTGCTCACTGACTATATTTTGATAACCCTTGGCTATAAACTGCTGCTTGACGCCATTTTCTACTAGTCACCCCCCCCTCAGTTACTACATGCTTTCTTCTTGCTATTTTTAGGAAACACCACGTCCGTTTCCTTTTAACAGTCTGCAGTTAACCTTCCCTCTACCTAGAACACACTTGTTGGAGCTTTGAGTTATTTCTTAATATTCAGGTCTTCACTCACATATTACCTCCTGTGCCTCTTCTGCCCAGCCTTAAAAAATCAGCTTATATTATCTTCTATCTGGCCCTCCTCATACTGTTTGCTTCAAAACACTTGTTACTATGCAATTCTGTTATTTTTCTGTTTGTTTTTCTTCATCCACAAGAATATAAGCTCCATGAGGGCAAGGACCTTTGTCTGCCTTGCTTATTACTATGTTTCCACTCTTAATGAGTTTATTGACTCATGGTCAGAACTATTATAATACTTATTTGTTGAATGAATGATTTCATTTTTATATGTGTAAATTTTGTGACTTTGGGATTTAAAATAACCTGCTAGAATGTAGATCTGGCACATTTAGAGGAAAATTGATTTAGAAAATGTTAATTTTTCATTTCTATGAAATACTGACTTTCTTTTCTTTTTTTGTTGGGGGTGTGAATATAGATCTGAAGAGGAATGACTATACACCTGATAAAATTCTGTTTCCTCAGGATGAGCCTTCAGATTTGACTCTTCAGCCTGGAAATTCCACCAAAGAATCAGAATCAACTAATTCTATTCGTCTGATGTTATAATATTAATCATTGGTTTTGCCTACACCTCATAAAAATGTTACCTTGTCATTTTTCCTTCAGGAGGAAATTGTTTGGTAATAGAGAAAAGTGTGTGCAAATGAACATGCTAATTCTGGCACAGTTAAAAGGTCAATATTCTTTTGACCTGATTAAAGTAGTCAGTCAGGAACTCCCTATAGGATACAGCTGGTAGCTGTTAAATTTTAAAGGTAAAGGAAAATTAGTATTTGTAACTTTTTAAAGGGCTCTTTTTAGCAGAAGATTTCATTTGACTTTGTTCTGATGAGGGTGATACCCTCTCTCATGTGGTGCAATACCATTAACCAAAGTTAAGTGTCTGTGCAGATTTTATTGGCAGCTGGTTTACTGCCATTCAGCTAGTGAAATGAAGAAATCATCCAGCCTTTTGGTTCAATGGCAGACGTCTTCCTCAGTGTGTTTTAGTGTGTTCACTGGTGATGTCACTAGTTGGCCATGGGAAAGGAGATGACTTGTTATTGGAGGTCCATAGGGATACAAGAACCCTGAGCTGAAAACCATTTTCTAAGAGGGACTTTATGAATCAGGATTAGGCTCCATATTTAAAGATGGAGGCAGTTTTTTTGTTAAATAGAGCCCAAATTGTGCAGAAGTATTAGTTGTTTTTTTTTTTTTTAACATTGTTTTATCAAGTCCTTGTTAAGTAGAAGAAAGCCATGGTAGACTGGTATAACCTAAATATACCGGAGGAGAAACTTAACTCACTGTTCAAGAGAAGTTACCTTGTAAAAAAAAAAAAAAAAAAAAAAGTGCTTTTTCCCTGTCTCTATCTATAGTGACAACCTGGAAGCTACATACTTCTCCAAAGATTTTATTGGCCAGTATATCAAATCAGAATGTAAACATAAATTCTTGCATATATTTAAAATTGTGTAAGAACATCTGAACATGAGTATTGTTTATGGTACTTATTTAAGAAATTGAGTTGGATTATCATTATGTGATGTCGGGAGATTGCAATGTAACTTTATGCCAATAAAATGTAATTTAACTGCCCCAGATATTGTTGAATACTCAACAACAAGAAAAGCTTTCATCTGACTAAAGTTTTATGCTTTGTTTTTTTTTCTTTTTGTTTGTTTCCTAGGTACTAATTTTAATTTTTATTTAGGAAGGAGCAGTGTAAATCTTAACTTGTATTCAGTAGTGTATCTCATAGATACAGACAAGGCAAGAAGAGATAAGCTGTTTAAATAGTGTTTTAATATTAAAGGGAGGGAGAAAGAAAAAGTGTATTAAAGATATTATACTATATACATTTTGTATATCATAAAATCTTTAAAAGAAATTAAATAAATTTATTCTTGTTTACAGATGTTTGAGTTTAATCATTCTGAAAAATTATTATGTTTTCAGTGTTTTGTGGTTTTTTTGTTTGTTTTCAGAGGATCATTTTTTTTAAATGAACTATTTTGTACACCTAAGCCTTTTCATATCCTGTCCTGTATATTGTTCAAAGTGGTCTTGGTTTCCGCCTGTTTCTCTCTTTTTTTCAAGATTTATTTTTAGAGAGAGCGTGCGTGTGTAAGCCAGGGGAGGGGCAGAGGGAGAGAATCTCAGGCAGACTCCCCGATGAGCATGGAGCCCGACATGGGGCTTGATCCCACAACCCCGAGATCATGAGCTGAAATCAAGAGTCGTATGCTTAACCAACTGAGCCACCCAGGCACCCCTCCTCTTTTTTTTTTTAACCTGTTTCTTGTTATGTCAGAATATGGGATATGGGTCATCACTATGTGTAATTTTATGTTGATTATTTTCACTAGATGATAATAGTAGTGAACATTTATGTAGTACTTAATATGTGCCAGGCATTACTCTAAGTACTTTACATATGTTGACCCATTTAATCCTTAAAGCAATCTTATGAAATAGCTATTATTATCATGTTTTGCCAATTAGAAAATGAAAGCATTAGGTAAAGTCACTTTCCTAAGATTCTTATAATTAGTACATAGCAGCACTAGGATTCAAACCCAGGAAGACTCGCTTTTTTGTACACTCATGAGCCTCATGTTGACTTTCAAGCATAATGATGATTCATTTCTGTACCAGTTCCTGGTTGCTTTTCTAAAATAAATCTACTCCATAACTTTTCTTTGCTAATTCTGGAGAGTAACAGTTTACCTGAAAACCACATTTCTCATTCCAAAGAAGTGTGATCTTTCTTTAGATTACTGAATTTCATCATTATTACTCTGGTCCAAAAGTGTCACTTGCTTATTCTCTTTAACATTTTCTTTTCAGTCTCATCCTACTGAGAACAAAGCTCTCTTTACCAAATTACCTCTTAAAACATCTGCAGATGTTCTCTGATAATGTTTTCATCCGTCTGGTATATATGAGCCATCATTATTATTTTTTTTTTTAAAGATTTTGTTTATTTGACAGAGACACAGCGAGAGAGGGAACACAAGCAGGGGGAGTGGGGGAGGGAGAAGCAGGCTTCCCGCGGAGCAGGGAGCCCGATGCGGGGCTCGATCCCAGGACCCCGGGATCATGACCTGAGCTGAAGGCAGACGCTTAACGACTGAGCCACCCAGGCGCCCCGAGCCATCATTATTTTAAAAGTAATGCATGTTGGTTGTAATGGAACATAAGGTAAAGATTTAAAATGTAAAGAAAAATATAAAAATTACCCTCATTTCCCACACTTAAGTTGAACTATGTTGTTTCATAGTTTCATCCTTTTTACCCCATTAGATTATACGCTTCGCAGAGGAAAGGACCCTTCAGATTTTTCACTCCTGTAGCACCCAACACCTTGCATAGTATGTGATTTGTGATAGGCACACCGCTAAAAAAAATTTTTTAATGGTTTTCTGCAATAAAACTTTGTCTTGAGGAAGATAGATCACAGTGTGTTTAAGTGGACAATCAAGGCAAGAGTACCCAATAAATAGCCACTTACCACTCAGATCAAGTAATTACTTGCAGAAAAGGATGAATCTACAGGCAGGGATTTTTGTGATCCTCCTTATTTACCAGATCTGCTCTCATTGTTTCCTAGCTAGGTTTCACACAAGGTATCTGTATTTGAGGAACCTGGACCCTCAGGTCTGTAACAACTGGCACTTAATTAAATTAAATGCTTAGCAATTATGTACTGGAGTGAAGCCTCTCAACCAGTGTGTCTCTGAAAACTTGGTCTGTGTTACCAACTGAGAGCTGTCTTACTTATTTTTGTATTTTCCTTAGTGCCTTGCTGGCATGTGTAGCATCGAATACAGATGCTCAATAAATAATGTGTTGAAGAAGTATCACAGAATTTCCAATATTACACCATCTGTGAGCTTTTCCTTAGGTAAAATCCCAAGTTATGGTTTTGAACCTCTCTGGAATACGTTTTTCTTCTGCACTCTTTGGAAATTCCTCAAAGCAGAGTTTCCAACTGGGGTCCATGATTCTGCCTTAGTGGTCATGGGCAGGAAGCAGGGAGGGAGAGGACATGGTTATTCTTCAGAAAAGCTGCATACTCCAGTCCGCAATAAAGAGCACCAGTCAACAGTGCTTTCTTTTATGTGCTGCCCCACCCCACGTGTAGCCCTCTCCTTTGCTGTTTTTTTCTCGGGATTTCTATGCAGTCTGCATCAATGGAAATTCTCTTTCATTTTAATTATAAATGCCTTAGTATATGTTTCTAAAATATAAGAACTGTGTTATATTCACACCTAAAAAATTAAGTTTCTTAATATCAGCGTCATTCTAAAAAAATTTTTTTATAATTTGGTTCAGTCAGGACCCAGTTGAGATTTATTATATATTAGAGTTGCTTGATTTGTCTTTAAAGTTTCAATATATAGGCTTCTCCTGCCATTCCCTTCCCCCCACCAACACCTAGTTTATTTTTTAAAGAACCCAATCCTAGGTTCTAAAAAGTTTCCCACATTCAGGGTTTTGCTGATTATTTCCCTTAGGTGCCATTTTACATGTTTCTGTTTCTTGAGTATGCCATAAACTGTTAGGTTTAGAGGCTTGGTTAAATTCAAGATTGAATTTTTGTCAAGAATGTGTCATCGCTGGTGGTGTATACTTATATTAGGAAACACAGTATTGGTTGTCTTTTTGATGGGCATTAACTAGATCTATTAATTAGGTCAGTGTTTTTTTTTTTTTTAAAGATTTTATTTATTTATTCATGAGAGAGACAGAGGCAGAGGGAGAAGCAGGCTCCCCGCGGAGCAGGGAGCCCGATGCGGGACTCAATCCCAGGACCCCGGGATCATGACCTGAGCCGAAGGCAGACGCTTAACCGACTGAGCCACCCAGGCGTCCCTAGGTCAGTGGTTCTTGAAATGGACCGCAAACCCTGAGGGTCTGCAGGTACTTTAAAAACTTTCATAATTTGGGACGCCTGGGTGGCTCAGTCAGTTAAGCGTCTGCCTTTGGCTCGGGTCATGATCCCAGGGTTCTGGGATCAAGCCCCGTGTTGGGCTTGCTGCTCAGCTGGGAGTCTGCTTCTCCCTTTGCCCCTCCCCCTGCTCATGCCCTCTCTCACTCCCTCTAATAAAATCTTTCAAAAAAAAGTACACTGTCAACAAAAAGACAACTCATAGGATGGAAGAAAATTTTTGCAAGTAATATATCTGATAAAGGACTTGTATAAAGAGCTTAATTAAGTAATAAAGAGACATCCCAATTTAAAACTGGGCAAAGGATGTGAATAGACTTTTCTCCAAAGATACATGAGTAGTCAATAAACATGAAAAGAGTCTCTACATCATTACCCGTCAGGGAAATTCAAAACTATAATAAAATGTCACTTCATCCCCACTGGGATGGCTAGAATGAAAAAGATGATAGCAGGTGTCGGCAAGGATATGGAGAAATTGGAATGCTTATCTATTGCTGGTGGGGATTTAAGTAGTGTCACCCCTCTGGAAAACAGTCTGACAGTTTCTCAAAAGGTTAAACAGAGTCCACATGACAGCAATTTTTCCCCTGGGTATATACCCAAGAAAATGAAAATATGTCTATACAAAACCTTGTACATGAATGTTCATAGCAGCATTATTGATAATAGCCAAAAAATGGGAACAACCCAAAAGTAAAACATAAATCTATACAATAGAATATTATCTGGCAGGGGCGCCTGGGTGGCTCAGTTGCTAAGCCTATGCCTCCGGCTCAGGTCATGATCCCAGGGTCCTGGGATCGAGCCCCGCATCGGGGTCCCTGCTCAGCGGGAAGCCTGCTTCTCCCTCTCCCGCTCCCCCTGCTTGTGTTCCCTCTCTCACTGTGTCTCTCTCTGTCAAATAAGTAATACCTTTTTAAAAAAATCTGGCAATAAGAATGTAGTACTGATAAGTCTTATGTCTAAGGGTCTTTCAATTCTGTAGCTACTGTGTATACACTGCAATGCAAAATGGAACTGGATAGACTTAGACTCTCATTTTCTTGCTCCGCCCCTTAGCCATGAGTAACCAGCTAATTGAGCAAGCCTCTCTGATAATACTGATCTCACAATGTTGTGAAGGTGCAGGGAGTTAAGTACTTAGCACGTAAAGGTACTCAAGTAATAGGTTTGTTCATGCTGTCTTTCCTTGGGAATTCCAGTGAAGAGAGGAGGACATGACGGAGAATAGAGAACATTCTGAGAGTGATTTTTCCCTCTACAAAGAACTTGCCATCTTGTAGTTTCTTGTTAGTATAGTTGAAATATGAGCACATGCTTATGAGATATGTGGATGTGTATAATTTGCATCCAAGTGCTTAAGTCTATTCCATTTTCATTTTTTGAAGGCACTTTTAGAATTCACTTTAAGAATGAAGTTAGAAAAAAGGATGTAAAAAGTAGCTCTGGGGGACACCTGGGTGGCTCAGTCGGTTAAGAGTCTGCCTTTGGCTCGGGTCATGATCCAAGGGTCCTGGGATTGAGTCCTGCGTTGGGCTCCTTGCTGAGGCGGGGAGGCTGCTTCTCCCTCTGCCTGCCACTCCCTCTGCTTGTGCTATCTCTCTCTCTGACAAATAAAATCTTAAAAAAGTAGCTGTGAGCACAAATGTAAAGCTAAAACATCAAGATAATTCAAATAAAGTAACCA